ATTGGATGCTGCATTCTTCCCCATAATTTAAGAATTGAATGAACTGCTTTACATTCATTGATCTCTTTTGATCTGACCATCATCAAGTAGGTAATGAAGTCACTACTACTTCCAGGATGAAATGGCAGAAAATGGGCTATTTAACTTATGATTGTTCAATATATATCAGGGTGGAAGAGAAGAAGCACTTATGGACATCAAGCAATCATATGTCATAGATCAGCTTTGTTCTCCTCTTCAATTTTAGACTGGCATCTTTCAAGCTTCATCTGGAGCTGCCAACATTGGGTTTACTCTACTTTGAGACTCTCCTACGGAACCATCCCATCCCCCCCCCCTTGCCAGTCCGCAAAGCCAGAAAGTTGGGGAACTCTGCTGTATGGAGTTGGTTAATCAGGCTGTGAGGGAGTGACTGTCCCTGTATCATCCAATGGGTTATTAGAAACATGCTAACTGAGACAGCAGAGAAGACAATGAAAGATTAGGAGAACAAGAAAGTCTACAGAGTTTATTAGGTGGTTATTGTAGGAGAAGAACCATGTTAATTTATACCGGCAAAAAGTGGTACCATCTTTTCAGACTACAAAATTTTGTTGAAGGGCACAGACTTTCATGAGCTATAGCTGATGGAGTCTGCATCTGAAGTGAGCTGTAGCTGTAGCTTGTACCTTCTAATAAAATTTGTCAGTGTGATCACTGTATCCATGTAACAATGATGAATTGCACCAAGGGAAATTGAGTTAAGGCTTGCAAAAAAAATGTGCCTGCCACCTTCAGTGATGCCCTTCACTTTTTAAAACTATTGAGTTTTTTTTCCTTCCTTTTGATTGTGACTTGGTTATAATGGCTGCAAAGATTTGATATGATCTCTATTGAATAATTTTTATCATCATGAATTCTGACTTGAGTTTCCTGTGTGAATACAGGTTATTCAACGTCTGCCACAGATTAAAGCTGAAAAATCCTAATGAGAGATTTTTCTGACCAATGTTACGTTACATACAGGAATATGTGTAAGAGATGACCAGGCTGAGTCTGAGGGTTCACTTCAGGGGTGAAATCCAGCAGGTTCTGACAGGTTCTAGAGAACCAGTAGCGGAAATTTTGAGTAGTTCAGAGAACCGGCAAATACCACCTCTGGCTGGTCCCAGAATAGGGTGGGAATGGGGATTTTGCAGTATCCTTCCCCTGGAGTGGAATGGAAATAGAGATTTTGCGGTATCCTTCCCCTGCCACGCCCATCAAGCCACACCATGCCCACCAAGCCACGCCCACAGAACCGGTAGTAAAAAAAAAGTTTGAATTTCACCACTGGTTCACTTGTACGCATTTGAACAGCCTTGGTTCCTGTTTTCTTGCACCTGACAATATGTGTAATAAAATCTTGACTAACATATTTTTAGCTTGGAAAGATGCTTTGTTGAGAACCTATTGACAAACAGAGGAAGATAATAGTGAATGACAGGGGAGGGCTTTTCGAGCAGAAAACGTAGAGATGATGTTTGTTTCTCTTTCCATCACTTTAAGATTGTATTAACTTGAATGAGTGGGTTTTTATGTGTAAGGCCTCCTGCTGAATTACTTTTGAAGGGTGCATTGCCCGCCCAGACTGTTCTTCAAAAAAAGCACAACCAATTCTATATTTAATGTGACTGTGTACAGATAGAATTACTTGGAGGTTTTGAGTGGGTTAGTGTCTGATCGAGTTAGATATATTGTATAAACAAGGAAAAAACCTTTTGCTGAGCCAAGTCTCAAATCTTTGACCTAAGGTCCAGGAGAGAGAGCCGTTATTACATGCAGACTGCATTCACACATTGCACCAAGCCATAATATAATGCTTACTTTTAGTTTATCACATTGCATGAAACCAATCATTCTGGTTTATAAATCATGTTTATAGCTTGGCAAATGAACTATAATAAAAGAAATGAAACAAATGGCTTAGTGATTATGTGACTCCAACCATTGTGATAAATGCTCACGCGTCTCATTAACCGGAGTTTGCTTAAAGATGGTATAGATACAACCTAAGTCCTTATGACCCAGTTTCACACAACAACTAGACACAAAGCTTAGAAACAAGTATCCCATGCCGTGCCTTAGCACGTGGTCCTCAACGGATAATACTAACTATGATTCTATTTCCAGCAGAAAACAGTATCGCTGAGACATTTTTGTAATATTCCTATTTACAGATAATCCTCAATTTACAACCACAAATTTCTATTGCTAATCAAGTTGATTGTTAAGTGGGTTGTGCCCTATTTTACCTTTTTTTTTGGGCTACAGTTGTTAAGTGAATCACTGCAGTTGTTAAGTGAACCGCATGGTCACTACCTTAATCCAGTTTCCCCCGTTGACTATGCCTATCAGAAACCAGCTGGGAAAGATGCAAATGGCAATCACTTGTTCCTGGGATGCCGCAACTATCATAAATACATGCCAGTTGTCAAATGCCTGAATTTTGATTGCATGACTATGAGGAGGATGCTGTAATGGTTGCAAATGTGCGGGTTAGGGCTGTGGTGAAATGTAAAATTTGTTACTACTGGTTCTGTGGATATGGCTTAGTGGGGGGGGTTAATATGAGAGTGGGCATGGCCAACTTTTTTTTTTTAACTTTTAAAACCATTTTTTCTTCAATCTTTTCTGCTGAAGAGGTTGTAGAAAAAATGCTTTTAAAAGCCTCTGGTGATCCCAGCTGAGCCGCGTGATCATCAGAGGCTTTTTTTTTAACTTTTAAAAGCATTTTTTCGGCCAAAGAGGTTTTAGAAAAAATGCTTTTAAAAATAAAAAAAAAGCCTCTGATGATTGCACCGCTCAGCTGGGCAATTGGGGGGGGCAGGGATTTTTGCTATCGGTTCTCCGAACCACCCGCCTCCATCGCTACAGGATTGAGCGACCCGGTCCAAACCAGGAGCATTTCACCCCTGGGTTAGGGTTAGGGTCATAACTCACTTTTTTCGGTGCCATTATAACTTTGAATAGTCATTAAACTAATTGTTGTAAGTTAAGAACTGCATTTATAAATAGAACACAAGGCAAACAATATAACCCTCCTACAAAGAAGAGGTAAATCCAGTAGCCCCACCCCCCCATTAGAAACCCGTGTTTCTAATCTTGTGCCCTTCTGGATCTTCCCAAAATAATCAATCTCTTTAACACAGAAATTGCAGATCATGACCTGCTTCCTCCCTCCCCCTCCCCATGCTTCTTTAGGCAAGGGAGTGGGAAAAGTAAAATTTTCTCTTGGGTGGGGGATGAGGGAGGTATAGATGATTATAATCTTTTACTTGTAATTTCCCAGGAGGAGCAGTGGGACTGTCAGTCATAGCTTGTCCACTGAGCATTGGGAATATTAACCAGATTTTAAGAACTCTTCAGCACTCGTCTCAAGACTCTTCATGATCTGTATATTGTGATAGGACAGGAACGCTAAGCTTTCAAGTGGGCGGGGGGGGAGTCCCCTCCAGGAGCATACAACTCAAAAGCAAAAGCCAGAGTATGGTAAATATACTGCTCAAAAAAATAAAGGGAACACAAGCAGAAGACATCCGAGATCTGAATGAATGAAATAGCCTTATTAAATATTTGGTTCTTTACACACAGCAGTTTATACACTGTTCAAACAACTAAAGGGAACACAAAACTACTGAATGTAACGAACAAAGTATTTAATAAGGCTATTTCATTCATTCAGATCTCGGATGTCTTCTGCTTGTGTTCCCTTTATTTTTTTGAGCAGTGTATTTGATAGAACCTCAAGGGGGAAATTCCAACTACATTCTTTAATGTCTCATAGGTATGTTTAACAGTACACATTTATAAATTGCAAAACCTGTTAAGAATGGACAAGGTTGGCATTTTTTTTTTTTTTTTACTTTCTCAAAGGAGGCAGAGGGAACTGGAGCATTATTACCATCACATATACAGTATCTTAATATAAACTCCCTTCAAAGAGGAAGGGCTTGAAATAAATTTACAGGGAATTCCCTGACAATCTGTAGTGCAGATTGATAAATTATACTTAACAAAACCCAGCTGCCTTTCGAATGGAACTGCATTGCAAAAACAAGTTCTTCTTGGTGTTAATCCATGACTATTCCAAGATGATTTGCAGTTATGGCAATGGGGAAAAAAGATGATAGGATAGCATAGAACCAGATAAATGTACAATCCCTTTGGTGTCCAAAATAAAACACTGCACATACCAAGTTCACACATTGTACAAAGCAACTTGAAGATGTGAAGACTTTAATTTCCAGAATTTCCCTGCTGGTTGGGGACTTTGGGAGTTGAAGTCCACCCATTTTAAAGTTCCTAAGATTGAGAAACACTAATCTAGAGCATAATATTAAGTATTATTATTAAGTCACAATTAGTCATGCATTTATGCACAAAAGTGATGTTCTTCTCAAGTAAGCTGTGCCTAAGCATTCTTAACCTGGTTTTCTTTTTCACGTCTCAATGCATAAAATACTCCAAAATAGTTTTACTGACAATTAAATCTTGGGGGTTGGGCTAGCATTATAACAGAAAGAGAGGTTTATAGTGTGACCTGGTTGCTTGAATCTAGTTTTCCTCCTGCAGTGCCAGCATGTATCATTCACTGGTGTTAACACTAAGCATTTATTTACTGGTGAAGCAAGCCAGAAGAATGTTTCTAACTCGAAGTAAAATAATTGGAATGCCGTTATGACAAACCAGATTTACTACTGTACTTGTTCTTCTAGTAGTGAGCTGCTTATCAGCTAACTGATAAAATAGATACCTTTTCAGCTTAAGAAAGCTCATGAACTTGAGGGGAAGTTTTAAAATATTCAGCAGAAAATTTCAACATCCTGATTAGTAGATCCATATTAATTGTGTGGCTTGATTCCCAGTAACTCTCACCCCCACTACCACATGACTCAGAGGATAGATTTACGGGCCTCAGGAGGCCAAGGCCCTCAAGTATGAAAACAAGTCATTTTGGGGGCCGAAGTGAAAACACTCACCAATCACACCTTGAGAACCAGCATAACTTAGTGGTTAAGGAGCTGGAAGAAGCGTGGAGAAAATAGGTTCAAACCCAATCTTCTGTATGAAATCTGCTGGGCTAACTTTCAATCCAACCTATCTCAGAGTTGTTGGGAGGAAAGTACTATATGCAGCTTGAAGGAAAGGCAAAATATAAAGCAAGCAATCAAACATAAGCATTTTTTTCAGTTGGTTCTCAAATGGAAATAAGGACCAAATTTGGTGTGTGGAGAGAAGCTTGCAAAAAGAAAAAAAAAGTCCAAATCAAGTTTGATAATGGGCTGCAGAAAAAAAATCCAGGGGAAAAAATCCCTAAAATATTTCTATGGGAAAGGCAATTGGGAGCAATCAACTATTCTGTTCTTGAGACCCTGCCACATGACCAGTGGCACTGCTAAAAATTGGAGAAAAATTCCAGCCACTCCCATGCATCAAAATGAGGGAAGCAATTGGGCAAAGTTAGAAAAAGTTAATGGCTTCTCTTATTTTAAGTTCCCTTTTCTTTTCCTCACCGGTCACATGGTTTAGAGTGGAATTATTTTTAAGGTATTGAAAAGAATTCCAGCAGCTTTCGCTACCCTTGTTCCATTTATTTCCAATTCTGGGCCAATTTATTTGAAGCTGCTGAAAAATGCAATTCACCTTTGATTTGCTGTGGTTCTGATGACTTTGTAGGAAGATGGTCCATTGGTGAGAACTCTTGCCTCATTTTAACTTTGAGGTTCAATATTCCTGTTCCTGCAGCTTGTTTTTTCCTATATGCATTATTGTATTTAAAACTTCTCCCCTCCGGCACAGCTACAGTAGCAACCCGCAATCATGGTTCCAGCTTTCGGGGAAAAGTGTCTGGCTGAAAAACAGAACACAGTGCAATGCTACTATATCAATCTTTCCTTTTAAACGCAACAAAAGAATTTTGGCCAAAAGGCTAGGAAATCTTTGGAGGGTTGTAATAGTTTGATCTTATTTTCTCCTCATATTTTTGCCCATTATGGCAACCTCAAGATTTTCTTGCAAAACAAGAAATGCAAATGAATATATATCCTGCAAGATTTTCGTGCAAAATAGCGAATACACAAGAACGTATATACTGAAAAACATGAATGGGAGATACTAGCGATTTATTTTTGTGTAGTGGGGTAGGGTGATTATATCAGAAGATCCAGGATATTCAGGTGGTGAAATTTTTCATTTTGCTGCTTTTTCAGTTACAGTATTGATGGTCTCCTGGGGAGCCTTGTGTTTTCTCTGGGTTATGAAGAATTGTAGCTCAGGCTAAAATATTTTCTGAAGGACTGGGGGGAGGCTGGAAACACCGGGAGGTTTGTAAGTGGCTTTTGTCTGTGTTTTTCCAATTGTGAGATTTTTCCCTCCATTCTACATGGTGTCTACTAACAACACTCCCACGCGGCAGGGCCTGTATTCTGTAGCACAAAGAGTGCATTTTCTCCCCATCTTCCAAATCGCACTCTGATTATAAGATTAAATCTAAGCAGCAAGAAGTAACTGCGGTAAAAGCAAACAGACCGAGCAGGCAGAAAGCATTACTAAGCCACTTACAACTCTTGTGTCGGGGCTCTGCTTTCAGGAGCAACCACAGAGCGATTCAGATTATTTTTGTTATCTGCAGACCGATCTGCCTTCAAAGCAAGCTGGCCGGGGTCCTTACCTCGGCCCGGAGAAACTCCGCGTAAGCAGAGCCTGCTCCATTCTAACCCTGCACTCCTCTTGATCTGCGCACCAAAAAGCCTTCTCAGCTGGCAGCCCTTCCCATTGGCTCAGGGATTCTAGGAACTGTCCAATAAGCTGATAGATTTCTTATTGTTTCTTTAGTAAGTCTCTTTAGGGACTCGGTTAACCCTTTTCAGGCGTTTGGATTGGCCGGCTGCTAAGGGAGTTCACCTCTTCCTTTCTGTTTTCTCTGGTTCCCTCTGGCCTTTCCTCGCCCAGTTGCTGCTGTCTTTTTTACTCCTCTCGGGGCTGTTTCTTTTGGATCCTCACAGCAATTTTCACCCTATACTGTCTAGACATAAATAAATTCAAAGCAGCTCCTCCGTTCAGTACACACAGAAACGAGAATAAAACCTTTCCCAGGTCGTTTTTAATGCTAACAAAAGTTATGTTCTCCTCCCGCCCCCCTTTTGAATGTCAAATTCATGTTTCCCGGATATAATCCTCCTAGCATAAGAAGTCTCTGTTCTCTATTCCTAGCCAAGGTGGGGATTCTCACATTTGCATTTCTGTTCCAGATTAATTTCCAGATTAATTTCTGTTCCAGATTAATCTCTTCCAGATTAATTTATAAATTTACTAATTTATAAATTATGCTTCCAGGCATGGCTTTTATTGGAGGATTCAAGCACTTTCAGCTTCTACTTTTGTCAGCCAGTTCTGCTCTTTCTCTTAGCAGTTTTGGAGACAATGAATTGTAAACTGTTCAGGACAAGAGCTTGGATTTGCTTCTCTTCTTTCCCCCCCCCAAAAGGCCACAGACCCCAAATAAAAAACGTGGTAAATGAACATTTCATTAGAAAACAAAAAATTGACTGAATAGAGTTTGAGATACTTTTTAAGAATTATCTTCAGCCAGTAAGATTTAATAACCTATATGGGAATGGGCTATTAAGAGATTTTGATGGTCTGCAATACAATATTTAAACCCCTATTCAGTCAGGCTTTTTTTCTAATAAAATGTTCATTTACCACATTTATTGTAGATCACACCATTCTGTTTTTGAGCTTTTATTATTTATATTTGGTATAAGGAATCATGCATTTGAAAGGCAGGCTGGGTATGCATTTTAAAAATATTCGCGCTGTATGCCTTTATTCAATAGGATGAGTCTTCTGTCTTACAAATTTTCTCAACAGTCCATCTGCATGACCCTTATGTCTTTGGCTATCAGAGAAACTCTAATAATCAAAGCTATTTGTACTTGTAATTTATCTCTAAGGTCTGTCACTCAATCTTTCAATGAAAAACTGATGACTTGGGCTTGATGGTACTGCAATTCAGCATGTTTTCCAGGAGTATCTGCTTATATTGGGATAGGGCAGTGGTGAAATCTGAACCGGTTTACTACTGGTTCTCTGGCTGCGCATGTGTGCCGTGTGCCAAATGCGCACTGTGCTTATGTATGCGCAGTGCGCATCATGCATCAAATGTGAGGTGCACGCACGCACGCAGTGCACACCAAAAGGAGGCATGGGGTAAGTAGAACAGCGCATGGGGGGGTTATCAGTTGTGGCACGCAATCTTTTTTTTTTAACTTTTAAAAACATTTTTTCGGCCAAATAGGTTGTTAAAAAAATGCTTTTAAAAGGTAAAAAAAAGGCTCTGACGATCGGCAGCTCAGCTGTGATCGTCAGAGCCTCTTTTTTTTACTTTTAAAAGCAAAAAAGCAAAACCTGCACATGCACAGAGGGTACAAAACACATTACTCCCTGGTTAAAACCAGGAAGTAACGACAACCAGGCGGGTGGGCTGAGCCTCGCGCCACAATCGCTACCGCTTCTCCGAACCACCCGTCACAATCGCTACTGGATCAGGCAATTCGGTCTGAACCGGGAGCATTTCACCCCAGGGATAGGGCTGATAAATCCCAAAATGGTGAAGTAAATCTATACCTCAAGTAGAATGTAGCATAAAGACAAAATTAAGAAAGCCGCTTCCTCAGATCTTGTGATTGAAATGCCCACTTTTACTAAGTTTTGCCCTCTGGGTTCAGATTGTATGGCCATCAAGAGGAAGAAAAGGTAACTGAACAGGTAACTTGTGGATATTGATTTGTCATAGCAAAAAAGCAAAGCAAAGGATTGTTGTCTTCCTCAGATAGGAGTCTGGGCAAGTACCCAATCCTTCAAACTGGGAATGTTGCAGCTCTCAGAATATTTCCCTTTTTGTTTTGTTTTGTGCCAATGATCCCCTCTGTAGGACATGTGGGATTCAGCATTAGATTTTGCATAACCCGAATCTGGTAAAGATCTTTTGCTGAGAAATGATTTACAGTAAAACAAATGGTGAGCCCTCCTTGTGGCTTTTGCAAAAGAATGAAGAATGTGGCTAATTTACATATCATCTACCACTGCTGGTTCTCAAAAACTTTTAACACATAGGAAAATAATATTTCTCAGTGCTGTCTGGGAAGTGTATTTCTTTTTCTCTATTGGTTTTGATTATGTAAAAATGCCCCCTTTCCCACTCATTGTTCTTACTGCTGGCAGAAAACTTGGAATGTTAGCCGAGAGTCTTTAGACACTCAAGGATTCCAGAATTCAAGGAACTGGACAGAATTTTTTTTAATAACTATTCTCTTATACAACTTCCTTGCAAAAGTGATATGAAAGAAGACACTGAACTATAGGGCTTCCTCTGGTAGATCTGCAGAGAATTTTAAAGGGGACACAGTATAACCGATATTATTGGATCCTTTTGATAAAACCCATGTGCTTTGGGATAATACTGAATCTAGAGCTTTATTTCTGGATAGCCACTAAAGAGTGAGAATGAGATGCGTAAAATTCTACCTCTATATTGCCATCAAATGGTCATCCAGATTTTTTAAGTCCAGAAATATGGGTCAGGTAAAGTTGGAATAGGGTGTTTAAGCTGCAGAGTCCAAATGTTGCTTCAGGTGGAAATCCAAATTAAAATATCCTAGATTGGCAGCTAATCTCTGTTTAAACCAAATGAAGGGGAGCCAGGGGTGGCTTAAAAAAATTTAGCAAGGGGTTCTCTGCCCAGTTGCTGGGTGGGTGTGACCATGGTGGGTGTGGCCTTGTCAGCCTCCTGCACCATGGCGGAGGGGGCATTTTTGCCTTCCCCGGGCTCCAGAGGCTTTCCTTGAGCCTCCGGGAGGGTGAAAATGGCCTCCCCAGGCTCCAGAGGCCCTCTGGAGGCCAGAAACAGGCCTGTTTCCGGTCTTCTCGAACTTTCAGTAAGCCTGTTTTTTGCACTCCCTGAGCCTCTGCACACGCCCTGCACTTACCTGCATCCAAAACGGGCCACATGGGGACTCCTGGGAGTGGAGGAGCGGGGTGGTCGGGGGCAGCCAGGAGTGGGATTTGGGGGTTCTCCGAACTGCACAGAATCTTAGCTAGAGGTTCTCCTGAACCCCTGCGAACCCCAGCAGCCCACCCCTGAGGAGAACCCATATCTGTCTAGGTAATTGGTTCTACAGTCAAACAGCTTTTTACGTTTCTCCAGATATCCAGTTGGATCTGTGTTTCTGTAATGGAATTCCATCATACTGTATTTTGTATTCCAAAATGAGAAAGAGCAAGTATTCTTATACTTTTATGCTTATCTGGGTGTCAACCACAGTATATAGTGATAGACTTATTCCAAGTGAGTGTGTAGATGACTACCATCAGAAACCTTAGGTTTTGCAGACGAAGGGCTTAGCTGCAACAGATTAACTTGGCTAATACTTCTTAGAAATAAATCTAGTAACAAACTGAATATCAGCCATGTTTCTAGGCCAAAGTATTCATTTGGCTTATTTGTTGCTTGTGAATTTAGCCTGTTGCCATTTATTAGTCCGGTGTTTCTCATCCTCAGCCACTTTAAGATCTCCACCCTCCCCCAGCATACTGACTGGGGAATTCTGGGAGTTGAAGTTCACACAGATTGAGAAACACTCTAGTAGTTGATTTAGTTTGTAGTTTATTATTATTACATTTTTATCCAGCCTTTCCTCCAAGCAGCCCATATGCAAAAGTATTTTCCTCATAACTCAGAATAGGTTTGATGTTTAGTAATAAAATAATTTGTGGGAAATTTGACATTGTTTATCCAGCCATATCTATAAATTACAGCCAGGCTTGTGAATTGAATGGGGCTATGGCTGTTGCCTAGATTTGATCATGGATTTCCTGCATTTTGAGTTCCTATACCTCATCACTAATTAAGAATGTTAGGTAATCAATCTACACTAATCATCTTATTTCACTGGAAATTCAGTTCTATGAAAGTCTATAATGGTGAATTTGTGGAGTGTTGTGCCTGTCATATCAATATCCTTGCAGGGAAGAACATAAATGACCATTGCCTACATTATCCTTCCGTCTGCAGAATTGACCATTACTTTCACCGATGCCCCATCTTAAATAATAGGTGTTCATTTTAGAATGGTTTGTAATGTGATTGCTATGTGCAATTTGAATGTACAAAAAACAGTTGTATGAAAAAATTGCTATGAATGTCTGATTGAGAAAGTAAATTAGAAATGATGAGTAATCCACTAGAAAAACAAAGAGGAAAAATTCATCCCAAACTATGTTAATACAGTTTTGAAATGCAGTCCTTTTGGAAGTCAGATGTGATTAGGTGTAGCCAGACAATTATGCATATAGAGCATTGGCCCATAAGCCATTTAGCATGCACACCTTTTATATGTATGTGTTCCTTGAGCATATCTTTGTGTCCCTTACTATACATATATACTGAAGACATAAAGTGACCATCATTTGATGGAAAGCATGGAAAGTCAAATGGTTATTGATATATATTGATTAAGAAGAAAGAGTATGAAACAACCGGAAAAGATAGAGCGAAAATAGTATAGGAAGGAGATCCTAGTATAAGAGCTGAGGTACATTAAACCTTGCTGTCAGACCAAACTATGCTTAGCCATTCCGCATATGATGCCTGTCTCTTATTAGCATTGTCAGTTTAATGAGCACTAAAATTTACCGTTGCATTTTTCTTTTAAAGCATGTCAAGAATGGGTGGAAGTTAGAGCTGTTTCTTTTGTTGTAGAGTAATGAAAACCTCAACTGTGAAGCTGGA